GCACGAACCTCCCTCTAGCTTCACATGCTCTACCTCGCCCACACATGTGCACAACTCTGCCATGCGCTGAGCATGCCTGCTCTCCCCTCCCCGCTTAGAATCTCAGAAACAGCCCTCCCCTTGGCTGAGAGGCTAGCCAATCACAGCAGGAGGAGGGCTTTTGGTGCGAGGATTCGCTGACTGTTTCCAAAAAGGAAGTGAAGGACAGGCTGAGAGATCTTTAGCCTTCTCTGCCAAAGGGGTTCCTAAGACCATCAGAAATATGTGTTTTCTGATGGTCTATGGCAGGGGTCCTCAAACTTTTTAAACAGAGGGCCAGGTCACAGTCTCTCAAACTGTTGGAGGGCCGGATTATAAACATGAATGAATTCCTATGCACACTGCACATCTTATTTGTAGTGCAAAGAACACTTAAAAACAATAAAATAATTAAAATGATGAACAATTTTATCAAATATAAACTTATTAGTATTTCAATGGGAAGTGTGGGACTGCTTTTCGCTGATGAGATAGGATTATTGTTGTTATTGTTGTTGCTGTTGTTGTTGTTGTGTGCTTTCAAGTCATTTCAGACTTAGGTTGACCCTAAGTGAGGGCCGGGCAAGTGACCTTGGAGGGTCATATTTGGCCCTCTGTCCTTAGTTTGAGGACCCCTCTGAAACCCCGTTGTGATCCCCCGGGTTGAGAAATGCTGATCAATCCGATTTCAGACAATGTAAGATTTCACCAAGCTGTTATTTGTTCATAGGGTTGCAAAGGGAAGCTTTAGCTGTTTGCTACAATCTTTGGCAAAATTAAGAAGAATTCAAGTGAAGCCTCCCAGGGCCAAAGGGAAGGTATTCTCCTTCTCTTCCTTTCTCGTCGCTTATTTGCCTTTGCCCATCGATTTCAATCCATATAATCGCTTTGGATGCTGAATGGCGAAACACATCTCAGATCTATTAAGTTATAAGCCAGGAAATAGATTTGATATAAACCAGACAATATTTACAGTGAGTCCAGGCACAGAAAACATCTGATCTTGAAGAGGCTGTAGCCAAGTACAATCCCGGTCAATTGTACTTCTATCATGTCAAGTGGAATGACCGGAGCTGACATACACACAGGTTACCAGGAATGAGAAAGGTGCGGTGTGTGTAGGCTACATGTAGCTCCCGAAACTCAATTTTGTATCCTCTAAAGTCCCCTGGAAATGTTTGTGTTGTGTTCCCCCCGCCCTGTATAATTCATTGATTGATTGCACCGTGGCTTGTTTTTTTCGCACCTCTCTGAATCTCCAAACCACCCTCCAGTCTTTATTTTCAGCTGCAAATGTAAACTAGAAGTGGCGTGACACACTTCTGGTGTGGAACAAGCCGGAGCGGCCTGTGAGGTGACCACTGGGGCTTCTGCCCTCAGCAGGGTTGCCCAGGTTGTTTTAGAGCAAGGGTCCTCAAACTAAGGCCCGGGGGCCGAATACAGCCCTCCAAGGTCATTTACCCGGCCCTCACTCAGGGTCAACGTAAGTATGAAATGACTTGAAAGCACACAACAACAACAACAACAACAACAACAACCCTATCTCATCATCCAAAAGCAGACCCACAATTCCCATTGAAATACTAATACGTTTATATTTGTTAAAATTGTTCTTCATTTTAATTATTGTATTGTTTTTAAGTGTTTTTTCCCCCCACTACAAATAAGATATGTGCAGTGTGCATAGGAATCCATTCATGGTTGTTTTTTTTCAAATTATAATCTGGCTCTCCAACAGTTTGAGAGACTGTGACCTGGCCCTGTGTTTAAAACGTTTGAGGACCCCTGGTTTAGAGCATGCATGGGCAAACCTGGGCCCTTCTGGGGGGTTGGACTTTAACTCCCATCATTCCTAACAGGCTCAGGCCCCTTCCTTTAAGGGGCCCGAGCCTGTTAGGAATGATGGGAGTTGAAGTCCAAAACACCCGAAGGGCCAAAGTTTGTCCATGCCTGGTTTAGAAAGACACAATTCCACACAAGAGACACAGCACAACAAAATAAATTCTTGTTGTCTTCATTTTAAAGCATATTCCTCGGGTTCTTTGGGGGCGTTGATTCAGAAAACTGCACTGGATAGACCACATTAGCTCTAGTTTCAAAGATATGGTTATCATAGTTTTCTATGGGTAGGCAGATGGCATGTGGTAGATGCTGTGTGTCCTGTTCTGTATCTCAAAAACTAGGGTTGATAGGGGGAAACCGGTGCCATTCTGGGAGTCAGCGGGATAAAGATACCCAGAAATGGGTCTAACATTAAAGCCACTAAAACATGTGCTGCACAGTGTAATAGGATTCACCCAGGCAGTAAGAAGCCAGACCTTGAAACTGCAGGGCCATTAAATGCTAATCAAGGTGGTCAATGGAAACATTCATACCTACATCCAACAGACAAGAGTTCTTTCTTCCGCTCTGGACATTCCACAGATATATAAACCCAATTTTCCTAGATTCTAACAGACCTCTCAACCTCTGAGGATGCCTGCCATAGATGTAGGCTAAACGTCAGGAGAGAATGCTTCTGGAACATGGTCATACAGCCTGGAAAAGTCACAACAACCCAGCAATAGCATCTGACAGTGCTACCTGGTGGCAGAGCCTCATCCACACAAGAGGACTTGGTAGTTGAACTTTGGATCCTTGGGTCATAATTGATTCCGAAAGCAACATTTTGGACAAATACTGAGTGTAGATTTGGGCAAGGTGACTTTACATTGCAGCCATGACTAGGTAGCTGTTTTGAGCACAAATACTCTGTGTGTGTTGTTAGGACATTGGGCCCATAACCCTTTTTGTTAGGATTTTTCTGGGTGTGTTTGGGAATACTATCCCAAAACAGCAGAGCACCCAAAATATGCAAAAGCAGGATACTTAAGGTTGAGCATTAAGCTCACAGCAAGCAGAGCGTGACGTGACATGTGGCTGTAAAGAATGTAGAGCCAAGGAGGCAAAATACAGAGTCCAGCCGTGAAGATTACAAAAGATTTGTAATCTATGTTTTGTTCTTTACTATTGAGTATCTATATTTCTCAATAGTAACGAACAGGGTCCTCGCTACTCTATACTCCATTTCCTCTAGGGTTCAAAAGAGAGGGGGAAAAATCTCCTGGCACTACATCTCTCCTGATGCACAAACAGAGAGAGATCTCAATACACACAGCACACACCAAGATGTAAAAGTAGAAGTCAAAAACAAAAGGCATGCACCTGGAAAATATCCATTCTATACAACCAATCGGAATGACAGCAGAAACAGAGAGAAGAGAAGAAATAGATAATTCCATCTGTCATTCAGGAGTCGGGGGGGGGGGGGCACAGCAGGTTAAGCTGCTGAGCTGCTGAACTATGGAATGTCCAGGGTGGAAGAAAAAACTCTTGTCTGTTGGACGTAGGTGTGAATGTTTCCATTGGCAACCTTGATTAGCATTTAATGGCCCTGCAGTTTCAAGGTCTGGCTTCTTACTGCCTGGGTGAATCCTATTACACTGGGCAGCTCACATTTTAGTGGTTTTAATGATAGACTCATTTCTGGGTATCTTTAACCCGCTGACTCCCAAAATGGCACCAATTTCCCCCTATCAACCCTAGTTTTTGAGATACAGAACAGGACATACGCCATCTACCACATGTCATCTGCCTGCCCATAGAAACCTATGATAACCCTGTCTGCGAAACTAGAGCTGATGTGATCTATCCAGTGCAGTTTTCTGAATAAACGTCCCCAAAGAACCTGAGGAATGTGCTTTAAAATTTATTTATTTATTTACTTCACTTGTATACCGCTCTTCTCAGCCATCAGGCTGATGAAGACAACAAGAATTTATTTTGTTGGGCTGTGTCTTTCTAAACCAGGCACGTTGGACTAACTGAAGCTTCCGGGCAGTCTTCAAAGGCAGCCCCACGTAGAGCTAAGAAATCATAGAATCATAGAATCAAAGAGTTGGAAGAGACCTCATGGGCCATCCAGTCCAACCCCCTTCCAAAAAGCAGGAATGTTGCATTCAAATCACCCCTGACAGATGGCCATCCAGCCTCTGTTTAAAAGCTTCCAAAGAAGGAGCCTCCACCACACTCTGGGGCTGAGAGTTCCACTGCTGAACGGCTCTCGCAGTCAGGAAGTTCTTCCTCATGTTCAGATGGAATCTCCTCTCTTGTAGTTTGACGCCATTGTTCCGCGTCCTAGTCTCAAGGAAGCAGACGAGTGTCCTATCCACAGCTATTGCAGGAAGTGCCTCACAGAGGCGGCCCTAGGTAATTTTCAACGGTAAGCAAACAGTATTTTGGCACACCCCCCCCCCCAACCAATCATTGATATATATTTTCTGTTTGTCGTGGGAGTTCTGTGTGCCATATTTGGTTCAATTCCATCATTGGTGGAGTTCAGAATGCTCTTTGATTGTAGGTGAACTATACATCCCAGTAACTACACTTGCTGCATTTGCTCCCTTGCCTGGCCCGCTTTGGGTCCGGAGGCGTGCCTGAAGACCCCAGTGTGTGTACCAAAAGTCACCTAGCAGTCCGGGGGGAGCCTCAGCTTTCTTTTTTTTTGAGGGGGCGCTCCTCAAGTGGCAGTCGAGGGGCATTTACAGAGACGCCTCTGCGCCCCTGGCAAATAAAAGTGTTCTGCAACCGCTTACTTCGTGTAATGGATGAGCCGCCCCTGGTGCTACAAAATGCTAAATAATCACAATACGACACATGCACCCCAACATCTCCCACACAGATAACCTACAACAGTGAAAAGCACACGGTAAAAATACACCGTGTCAGAAGCACGTTACCGTATGACTACAAGGTATCGTGATCAGATTACTAATGGCAGATTGTTAAGAAGTTACAAGACAGCAGGGTCACTTTTGCTTGGCCTCGCCAAGGCGGGAGGGGAAAAATGGCTGCCCCACATCTCCGAATGCGATTGGCTGCAGAACATTCCGACCGCGGCGCTGCTGTCCAGCCTCCCTATGGTGCCCAGGCAAAATGGAATTGCTTGCAGCGCCGTCTGGAACAAGTTAGCTCATTAGCCCATAGCCCAGCTGCTCCCTGAAAACCAAGGTGGGTCCAAATCTGTAGCTGGTTTAGGAACCTGACACTCACTCACTCACTCACATCCCTCAAAAGTCAGCTAGCAACTGAAATAGCCAAGGGAGGAGCTCTGCGCCCAGCTGCCAACAGCTTTTCTGAGTGTTTTCCAGAAAGGAGAGGGTTGGAGAAAGAGAGGGGAGAGGAGGGAGAGCTGGGCACGGCCTGCCTGGGGGCCTTGCCAGCTCCCCAACCCACACAGACACAATCCAGAGGGTGAGTTTGGTCCCGAAGCAAAAAAAAAAAAAAAGCCTCTCACTAAGCTCCTCGTCTGATGTCAGCTTCCTTGGAGGAGGGGAGGAAAAAGGGAATTGGAATCCAGCGAGTGAAATTAACAGGAGCTTCAGGCTTTTGCAATTCTGGATTCTGGTTCCCCTATTTCTGCTCCTGGCTGTTGTTTCCATGGAAACTGGCACCAGACCTGGGAAAATAAGGGTTAGGGTTTTTCAAAGGGAGGCTCTCTTCCAGCTCCCTCTCCCCCTTAATTTCTGGCGTTCCGGCCCCCTGTTCCACTGAGAAAAGCAAAGTGAGGAAACAGCAAGCGAGATTCGCTCCCTGGAAGATTGCAGCTGCCTGCTGAGATGGGGTAAGCTATGCTTTTCAGAACCCAATACCGATTTGCAGTGCTAAAAAAGAAAAAAAAAAGACGAGAAGGAGCCAGGGAGGGGGTGTGGGGAACATTTTAATTAGTAAGTGACAATAATAATACCTTTGTGCTTCTCCACTGCCTTTCATCTGGGCATCCCACAGTGCGCTGCAGACATTCATTAATTTGGAAATGCATATCAGCATCCAGGCACCTCTGCCAGGTGGAAGGAGGCTTTATCCACCCTCCCCACCAACTCCAACATTATCCAAGGGATTTCTGGTCCCAGATTCACGGAGAGTCTGTTTTCTGCAGGACCGCTTACGCACAAAACGTTCCTTCCAGGTCGGAGACACTTCCATTTTCAAAAGTGCAAAGAAGATTACATGGAGGGCACCATGACCTCTTCTTCTGCCAGGTATAATTCATAACAATTCAAAAATGTTTTTTTAAAGGTTAACAAAACTTTGCATCAGTAGGGGAGGCATTAAATCACACGGTCATTTTGACACCACAGATATAGAAAGAATCATAGAATCATAGAGTTGGAAGAGACCTCATGGACCATCCAGTCCATCCCCCTGCCAAGAAGCAGGAAAATTGCATTCAAAGCACTCCCGACAGATGGCCATCCAGCCTCTGTTTAAAAGCTTCCAAAGAAGGAGCCTCTACCACATTCCACTGCTGAACAGCTCTCACAGTCAGGAAGTTCTTCCTAATGTTCAGATGGAATCTCCTTTCTTGTAGTTTGATTCAAAGTGCTGGCGTTGACCTTTAAAGCCCTAAACGGTTCCGGCCCAAGATACCTATCAGACTGCATCTCTGCTTATGAACCCACCAGGACTTTGAGATCTTCCGGGGAGGTCCTGCTCTCGATCCCGCCTGCCTCACAGGCACGGCTGGCAGGGACGAGAGATAGGGCCTTCTCGGTGGTGGCCCCTCGGCTGTGGAACGCCCTCTCCACAGATATTAGACTAGCTCCATCATTAATGGTATTCCACAAAAAAGTGAAGACCTGGTTGTTCGAGCAGGCGTTTGAATAGTTAGTGCAATGAGTGTAATGAACATAGGAATGGAACAATGGATGACGGATCTGGATCATGTTTTCAGTGATGAGACGCCAGCGAATGGCTATTGTTGTTAATTATATAGGACTGTATAAGGTGTTATGATGTTACTGTTTTTTACCGTGTACTGTAGTATCGTATTTTTGCTGTTCTGTTAACCGCTGTGAGTCGCCTAAGGGCTGAGAACAGCGGTATACAAATAAAGTAAATAAATAAATAAATAAATAGTTTGAATAATATATTTTTTTGTCGTGTCAGGAGCAAGTCGCTTCTGGTGTGAGAGAATTGGCCGTCTGCAAGGACGTTGCCCAGGGGACACCTGGATGATTTGATGTTTTTATCATCCTTGTGGGAGGCTTCTCTCATGTCCCCGCATGAGGAGGAGCTGATAGAGGGAGCTCATCCGCCTCTCCCCGGATTCGAACCTGCAACCTGTCAGTCTTCAGTCCTGCTGGCACAGGGGTTTAAGCCACTGCGCCACTGGGGGCTCCAATAATAATAATAATCATCATCATCATCTTTATTTGTACCCCGCCACCATCTCCCCAATGGGGACTCGGGGCGGCTTACATGAGGCCAAGCCCAACAACGCAATACAATAAATGAAATCAAAACACAAACAACAGCATGATAAATCACATAAAACATCAAATGTAAGAGCACAGCAAACAAAATAAAATTACAATAAAATCATTCATAACATAGAACAGTGAGCGGGCTGCATGTACAGAATAAAGTACTAAGGCTAAAAACACGGCTAAAAACATGGGGTGAAACAACGATGGAGCAGATTATTTGTGAGGGAGGAACTCGTTCAGAATGGGGTTGAAAAGAGCCTTCATACAGAAGGGGTGGTGGTGGTATGCACTAAAGACAGATGTTGAGGGGTAACAGCAATATGAGATTATATGATTAATCTCCAAAAGCACAACGGAAGAGCCAGGTTTTGAGATTCTTCTTAAAACTTTCTAAAGGAGGGGCTCGTCTAATCTCACCGGGCAATATATTCCATAGCCACTGAGGAAAAGGCTCTCTCCCTTGTTCCCACAAGGCGGGCCTGAGATAAAGGTAGGGGTGAAAGAAGAGCCTCCCCCGAGGATCGGAGGGATCGGGCATGTCTATGGAGGGAGATACGGTCACGAAGGTAGGCGCGTCCCAAACTGTTTAGGGCTTTATAGCCATTGTTCCGTGTCCTAGTCTCCAGGGCAGAAGAAAACAAGTTTGCTCCCTCCTCCCTATGACTTCCTCTCATATACTTATACATGGCTATCATGTCTCCTCTCGGCCTTCTCTTCTTCAGGCTAAACATGCCCAGCTCTTTAAGCCACTCCTCATAGGGCTTGTTCTCTGGACCCTTGATCATTTTAGTTGCCCTCCTCTGGACACATTCCAGCTTGTCAATATCTCTCTTCAATTGAGGTGCTCAGAATTGGACACAATATTGGACACAATATTCCAGATTATGTTTCTGTTTGGGGAAAACGACCCTAAGATATAGCAGAGCATCCAAAAATCAAGCACGATACAAAAGTTTGAGTATTCAGATCATTAGTGAGAAAAGCGTGAAGTGCCATTGGTTGTGGCTGTAAAGAAGAAGTTCTCAACCTGTGGGTCCCTAGGTGTTTTGGCCTACAACTCTCAGAAATCCCAGCCATTTTACCAGCTGTAAGAATTTCTGGAAGTTGAAGGCCAAAAATCTGGGGACCCACATGTTGAGAACCACTTCTGTAAATAATAAAGAGCTTAGAAAAGTGTTTCTCAACCTGGGGGTTGGGACCCCTTGGGGGTCACGAGGGGGTGTCAGAGGGGTCGCCAAAGACCATCACAAAACACAGCATTTTCTGTTGGTTGTTGGGGTTCTGTGTGGGAAGCTGAGCCCAATTCTATCGTTGGTTGGGTTCAGAATGTTCTTTGATTGTCGGTGGACTATAAATTCCAGCAACTACAACTCCCAATCCATCATTGCTTGAGTCCACAGAGCTCTCTGGATGTAGGTGAACTACAACTCCAAAATTCAAGGTCAGTGCCCACCAAACCGTTCCAGTATTTTCTGTTGGTTATGGGAGTTCTGTGTGCCAAGTTTGGTTCAATTCCATCGTCGGTAGAGCTCAGAATGCTCTTTTGGTTGAAGGTTAACTATAAATCCCAGAAACTACGACTTCCAAATGACAAAGTCAGTCTCCCCACAACTCCACCAAATTTGCGTGCATTATTTGTGCCAAATTTGGTCCAATGAATGAAAATACATCCTGCATATCTGTATTAATGGGTCGCAGCATTGGGAAGGTTGAGAAACACTGGCTTAGAAGGTAAACATGCAGAGTCCAATCTCAAAAATCACAAAAGGTTTATTTCCAATAATAAAAACTAAGTACATTTCTTAATAGTACAGAACTGGGTCTGAGCTACGCCAACACCCATCTCTTCTAAGTTTTGGAGAGAGGGAAAAAACACCAATCTCTACATCTCTCTGACACACACGCAGAGATCTCAAAGCACACAGCACATGCTCTCCATACTCAAGTGTAAGAAGGCAGAAGACAGATTCAAAAAGCTTGCAGTAGAAAAGCATCAATTCTAAACAACCAATCAGAAGGAGAGCAGAAAGAGAGAGAGAATAAATAGATGCATTCCCAACCGTCATTCAGGAGATATAGGGGAAGGGAACCCCTTAGTCCAATGTTTCTCAACCTCTTAATGCAGTTTCTCATGTGGTGGTGATCCTCAACCATAAAGTGATTTCAATTGCTACTCCACATCTGTAATTATGCTATTGTTATGAATCGTAATATCTGATATGAAGGATGTATTCTCATTCACTGGACTAAATTTGGCACAAATACCCAATACACCGAAATTTGAATACTGGTGGGGTTGGGGGAAATTGATGTAATCATTTGGGAGTTGTAGTTGCTGGGATTTATAGTTCACCTACAATCAAAGCGCATTCTGAACTCCACCAACGATGGAATTGAACCAAACTTGGCACGCAGGAATCCCATGACCGACACAAAATACTGGAAGGGCTTGGTGGGCACTGATCATGAGTTTTGGAGTTCACCTACATCCAAAGAGCACTGTGGACTCAAACAATGATGGATCTGCACAAAACTTGGCACGAATACTCAATATGCCCAAATGTGAACACTGGTGGAGTTTGGGGAAAATCAGTCTTGGCATTTGGGAGTTGTAGTTTCTGGGATTTATAGTTCACGTACAATCAAAGAGCATTCTGAACCCCACCAATGATAGAATTGGGCTAAACTTCCCCCACAGGACCCCCATGCCTTGAAGGAACTCACTGGTGCGAGCCTCCCTCCAGCCCTACACGGTCTCCCTCGCCCACACATGCGCAACACGCTGCCATGTACCGAGCACGCCTGCTCTCTCCTCCCCACTTGGAGTCTCAGACATAGCCCTCCTCTTGGCTGAGAAGCCAGCTGAGAGGCTGACCAATTACAGCAGAGGAGAGGGAAAAGGAAAGGGCTGAGGCTGTTAGGAATGGTGGGAGCTAAAGTCCAAAACACGTGGAGGGCCGAAGTTTGCCGATGCCAAACACACATAATTTTACATCTACTTTTAATGACTTTGGAAGCACTGCATTTGGTCTGTTTTGTTTTATTTCCCCTATTGACTGGGAAATTGTTGTCCAAAAAGTAACTTTCCCAAGACCCACTCGTTTTAAAATATTTTGAAATGCTTATCTACGTAGAACACAATAATCTGAAATGCTTTCCCTCCAATCCTTCATGTCTGTGCTGGTATAGGATTTGTTTTGCATTGCTGGGCAAACACAACACTTATGTCAGCATCCTTTACTATATATGTGTGTGTATGTGTGTGTGTCGAAGCAGCGAGGCTTTGAAGCTGCAAGGCCATCCAGGGTGTGCCAATGGCAACATTCCCACTTGCCTCAAACAGGCAAGAGTTCTTTCTCCCACCCTGGACATCATTCTATTGATATATAAAACCCACTTGCCTAGTTTCCAACAGATCTCACAACCTCTGCCACAGATGGGGGCAAAACATCAGGAGAGAATGCTTCTGGAACATGGCCAGACAGCCCGGAAAACTCATAGCAACCCAATGAAAAAAAGGCTTTGAGACTAGATAATGTGTCTTTGTTTCCCAAGCTTTGAGATGAATACAATATGTAAACATTACAGGGCATTAAACATCCAGTCCAAAGATCGCTGAATTTCCACTCATCTAAAGAGATGAATTAGACAGATGCTTAGATCTTTCTCTGAAAATTAAGAGACCTGAAAGTGCTTAACTTTGGTGGGACTGTGCCCCAAGAACTGTGTCATTATGACAATAAATCTAGCCGTTATAATCATTGCCTGCAATAGTCAGAAAAATGCCTACGAACCAATGTAGTTCAGCAAAGAAGACGACTGAGAAACTTAGGTCAAATCTGCATACCAGACACAGATTCACGTTACAGACATCGGATTTCCAGCTCTCCTGTGGTTGATACTCGACTGAGAAGAGCAGTGAGACTGCATGCATATTCACTATTCACTTAACCTTAAAAAGTTGATTTGTACAACCTAAATGGATTATTATATTTCACATTCTGCACGGGAGTCAGCTTCCGTCCACACAAATGTGATATGTCTATTACAACCTCTCTCTCCCTGCCACAAACACATTTCTACACCAAAGGCCAATGTGGACAGAGAAATATTAGGGCTAGGGTAGGAATTACACAGTCATCCAAGTGTTTGAATTGCAACTTTGAGCATTATTCACCATACAACAACATCTATATTAAGGAGTTGGCTGACAACTGTCAGGCATCAGGGTCTTAGGGTGCATCTACACCAGTGTTTCTCAACCTTCCTACTGCCATGACCCCTTAATACTGTCCCTCATGTTGTGGTGACCCCCAACCATGAAATTATTTTCGTTGCTACTTCATAACTGTAATTTTGCTACTGTTATGAATTGTAATGTAAATATATTATATGCAAGTTGTATTTTCATTCACTGGGCCAAATTTGGCACACATACCCAATACACCCAAATTTGAATACTGGTAGAGTTGGGGGGGGGGGTTGATTTTGTCGTTTGGGAGATGTAGTTGCTGGGATTTATAGTTCACCTAAAGCATTCTGAACTCTACCAACAATGGAACTGAACCAATCTTGGCACACAGAACTCCCACGATCATTGGCCTTGAGTTTTGGAGTTGTAGTTCACCTCCATCCAGAGATGATGGAGGTGGATCCAACAATGATGGATCTGGTCCAAACTTGGCATGAATACTCAATATGCCCGAATGTGAACACTGGTGGAGTTTGGCGAAAATAGACCTTGACATTTGGGTGTTGTTGTTGGGTCTATATTTCGCCTACAATCAAAGACCATTCTGAGCCCCACCAACGATAGAATTGGGCCAAACTTTCCAAACCCCCATGATGAACAGATATCTGATTTGTTCAAATACTGGTGGGGTTGGGGGGATTGATTTTGTCATTTGGGAGTTGTAGTTGCTGGAATTTATAGTTCACCTACAATCAAAGAGCATTCTGAACTCCACTAACGATGGAATTGAGCCAAACTTGGTACACAGAACTCCCACGACCAACAGAAAATACTGTGTTTTCTGATGGTCTTTGGTGACCCCTCTGACACCCTCTCACGACCCCCCTAGGGGTCCCGACCCCCAGGTTGAGAATCACTGATCTACACTGTTGTTCCAATGCAGTCTGATATCCCTTTAACTGCCAGGGCTCAATGCTATGAAGTTATCAGAGCTGTAGTTTGGTGAGGTACCAGGACTCTTTGGCAAAGAAGGCTAAAGACCTCGTAGAACTACAGCTCTCCAGATTCCATGGCATTGAACCATCACAGTTAAATTGATATCAAACTTCATTAATTCTACAGTGCAGGTGGCACTCTAAATGAACTGCTATCTGAAAGAGCCTTTATTTTCAAGTTACCGTATATACTCGAGTATAAGCCGACCCAAATATAAATTGAGACACCTAATCTTACCACAAAAAAACCCTGAGAAAATGTATTGGCACACAAATAAGCCGGGGGTGGGAAATGAAGCAGCTACGGGAAAAGTTCAAAATAAAAATAGATACCAAGAAAATTATATTAATTGAGGCATCAGTAGGTTAAATGTTTTTGAATATTTACATAAAACTGTAATTTAAGATAACACTATCCAACTCTGATTGAACCACTGTTCTAACCTTCTTCAACGTAAATGTGTTCATGTATCCTTCCAATAATAATAAATAGAGTAAAATAATAAATGTAATAATAATAATAATAATAGAGTAAAATAATGTAAATGTAATAAGGTGACGGGAGCTAAAGTCCCGTGGGAGGGTGACAGCCAACAGGACGCTCTGGCGTGGGATGGTCCATGAGGTCACAAAGAGTCGGAAGCGACTGAACGAATGAATAATAATAATAATAATAATAATAATAGAGTAAAATAATACATGTAATAAAAACAGAGTAAAATAATGTAAATGTAGTAATAAATACTAAATGCAATAATAATAGAGTAAAATAATAAATATAATAAAAATAAAAGAGTAAAATAATTCAAATTTTATAACAATAAATAAGAGTAAAATAATAAATGTAACAACAACAACAACAACAACAACAACAACAACAGAGTAAAGTAATAAATAACCTAGACTTGAGTATAAGCTGTGGGGGGCTTTTCCAGCCTAAAAAAGTGGGGCTGAAAAACTCAGTCTATACTTGAGTATATAGGGTACATTTATATCTCACCTTCTCTTCAACGAGGCAATATGCACAACCCCTTTTTCTCCAACCTTTGCTTCACAGCAATGTTGCCAAGTAGGTCCAGCAACAGGATCGATCATCTCAAGATGATCCAACAAATGTCATGGTTCACTGGGGGAATGGACGCTGGACCTCCCAAATTTCTCTCCAAAAGCTTCAACAACCAGCCTTTATTGCATTATCTCTCGTCATCGTAAATAAACATACCTCTTAGAATAAAGTTACCATGTCTCCAGTGTTATTATTGTGTATTTTGAGATGTGGGGGTGTTTGCCTGCAACGTTACACACTTGGTGGGTGTTAAAGGAGCAAGAAACATTACAGGTTGTGCAGGACAGACCTGCACAACCTGTGGCCTTCCAGATGATTTGGACTTCAGCTCCCAGAATTACTGTGCATTTGGACAAGCTGACTAAGGCTTCTGGAAGGCCATAGGTTTAGGTCCTCCAGTATGATTCTAAATCAGGCATGGGCAAACTCTGGTCCTCCAGGTGTTTTGGACTTCAACTCCCACAATCCCTAACAGCTTCAGGCTCCTTCCTGGGGCCTGAGGGGCCTGAAGCTGTTAGGCATTGTGGGAGTTGGAAGTCCAAAACACCTGGAGGGCCTAAGTTTGCCCATGCCTCCTCTAGGCCATATTGATTATTTCTCGCATCTTCTCAAGATGGCAAAATAAGAAGATGTCATCTAAGTGATAAAAGTTTTAGGAGAGTCCAAATACAAGGTTGTTTGTGGGACTGAGTCAAGAAAGTCCCCTTCTGCACACACATCAGCCTCAAGGTTAAAGGATACCACTATATTTGAAACAGTGGTAAAAAAACAAAGCCTACTCACCATGCCAGACTAGTTATTAGAACCATATAGACCTAGTTTTAGCATTCTTCTTACTCCAACTAACTCCTTGCCAGACATGGTTTTGTTCCCAGATCTCAGCTTGTGGTACATGAGGCCCGTATTGTTTGTAGATACACATCTAGAAGAGAGAAGAGCTTAGGAGCAGAGCACATTCTTCATGGAGAAGATCCAGAGCTTTCATGATAACTGGGATGAAGCTCTACCAAAGATTCTAAAGAGTGTCTGCTCACTGGAACAAGTGAGACAGTGCTCATCTTCTATATCTATATTCTAGCTATATACACATAATAAAAATGAAAAATGTGTACGTGTATATGTGGTGGAGGTTTCCGCTTACACAAACAGACTCCCACCTCCACAAACAAACTATTGTTCCAAGTCCTGTGAAGTCTCCAAAGGCACCTCCTTCAACTAACACTGCAGGTTATAGCGAACGGCATGAACATGTAGCCCAAACGCTGCCAATGTCCTCCCCAAACACTACAGCCTACCACCCAAGGAATGCTTTCATTTGGGGAGAATTGCATTCTTGATTTGATGTGTTTCCTCCACCACAGACAGGCATCCCATGGTTCCTTGTGTTGAATTTGCATGACTCCGCCCACTGCCTCTTCCTTAACCCTTTCCTAGGGCACACAGCAAACACAAAGGAACTGATCAGCAACTAAACAGATTGGAGAGGTTTGGGGGCTGAGACCAACTGTAAATACTGGGAGGATTTGGGGATGACTGCCCTTGGCATATGGGACTTGTAGTTCACCCTTATCCAGAGAGCACTGAACCAAGCCAACGACAGATCTGGACCAAACTTGCTACACACACCCAACATAGCCAAATGTGCACACAGGCCTGGTTTGGGGAGGATTGACCCACGATTCTGGGAATTGCAGTTCACCCACATCGTTATGTATTTTGTAATAATAATAAACAAAATCACATTCTGGCCTTTTTCCTAATAAACAGTGTTACTAATTAACACAATGATATTACCTTACACCCCAAAATAAACAATGTCTTTTTCAAATAATCCAGGCACCAATGGGTACCCAAGCTAGTTCTGAATATAAGGGAAGCTTCATATTGACAAGGAAGGAGCTGGTGCAATTTAGAAGTCACCAGCCCTGTCTCCAGCTCATCTTAATGATGGCTAAGTTTCTGGAACACCATGAGTACTTCAGCTTGATCTGTGTGAGACACTAGTGAAAACAACTGGGGGGAAAGGGGGACACAGACCTCTAAGATACTGGGAGCTCTCTATCTCCATGAAATACCATCTGGTGGAGATAATTCAGTGTCACATAACTATGCTTGACTAAATACATACGAGGGTTGAATGAAAAGTAATGCCTCTTCCTTCCTTACTTGGGTTTTAATAAATCAAACAAAGAAATAATCAGTGGGTTGTTGTAGGTTTTTTTCGGGCTATATGGCCATGGTCTAGAGGCATTCTCTCCTAACATTTCGCCTGCATCTTCGCCTGTAGGAGTCTACCGTGTACCATGCAGCTGTGGACAAGTCTACATAGGGACCACCAAACTCAGCATTGCCCAAACATGAATCAAGGAACATGAAAGCACTGCAGACTACTTCAACCAGAGAAATCAGCCATAGCAGAGCACCTGATGAACCAACCTGGACACAGCATTTTATTTGAGAACACAGAAATGCTGGACCCCTCTCACAACCACCATGTCAGGCTACACAGAGAAGCCATTGAAATCCACAAGCATGTGGACAATTTCAACAGAAAGGAGGAAACCATGAAAATGAACAAAATCTGGCTACCAGTATTAAAAAAACTCTAAAATTACAACAGCACAACAACAGAGAGGAAACAAACAAGGACATCTAATCACCTCTCAACAAAAGTTTGCTCCAGGCACTGTCAGGCCATTATATGCTAATCAAGGTGGTCAGTTGAAACATTCACACCTAGCTCCAGCAGACAAGAGTCCTTTGTCTCACCCTGGTCATTCCACAGATATATAAACCCTTTTTCCTAGTTCCAACAGACCTCACTACCTCTGAGGATGCTTGCCATAGATGCAGGCGAAACGTCAGGAGAGAATGCCTCTAGACCATGGCCATATAGCTCGAAAAAACCTACAACAACCCAGTGATTCTGGCCATGAAAGCCTTCGACAATACATTGAAGAAATAATTCTTAGAATGTGCTCTTTAACTACCACTATTCACTTTCCCACATAATCACGAGATAATTGGATACATTTCTGCCACGATGAACAAGTTTTCTGAAGCTATCACAGAAGTATTGACACTCTGTGTCTGCAACCAGCATCTCAGTTCTCTCA